CTCCAACTCAAATGGATTTAATCACACTTTGCTCAGCTCAAAGCCGTGTGCTCCCAACTTAGAATTGAAGAGCGCATTTCATTTCATAAGAAAATCTTCATAGTGGCCATCTACGTGGACGGCATCAGAAAATTTGCCCCGGAAACATGGTGCTCTGGTCGAGCTCAATGGGGTTCTCGACTGATCGTGTACCGCCACGACGGGTTCCGAAGGGCGGGTACATCCATTTACGCTGAATGGCTCTTGAGAAAAGAGAAAAATCGATTCGTCAGAAACTGTAGTTCCAACCAGTCGAACGTGGTGTTGATTTTCATGACGTCGACTATTAGTGTTAAAGGATTTAGTAAACTGCGTACCGGAAATAACATGAAGTTTGGCCAAAAATGTAATGGTGTCATGTCTACAGGGTGTCCCATAAATATTGCACCACTTTCTTTACTTGTAACTTCTTTCAAAATGGATGTATCTTCAAGAGGTTTTACAAAAATTTTAGCAATACATTTACATATTGAAAGGAATGACATTCATTGGATATGCTCCCCTGTTGTTGTGAGTATGGCTCCCAATTGCTTCGAACGCAACTCTACTGTGGCCCGCATGGCATCCTGGGGTGTTCTCTTCAAACTTTGCAGAGAAAAGGCTCCGGCTCATCCATGTGGATGCAATGTTTGCAGCAGGTTCTGCCCTCACAGCCCACACAGGATGGTCAAGCACGATTAACTTTTCGGCCCTGGCGGTGGCAATTGCCACCATCAAATTCAAATGTTTGCATTGCCGCTGTCCTGCTAGAGGTTGCTTCAGTCAACCTTCCCCTTCCTAATTATGAGCTAAACCTGCCATTTCATTGTGTGTTGCTGTTAGTATTACAAGTATTTGTGTACAAGTGCAACAATGAATCGGCGCTGGTCCCCGCAACCGCCAAGTAAGTGTCACTTTTTCTTAAAATACTTGAAGTAGATCCATTCTTAAATCAAAATTATGGGTTATAATGTTGTGCAAGATTATAAACTTTTTCGGCATAACTATGAAATTTGGAATTGTTTCGACATAAGCTTAAAAACTAAGAAGGTGGGCCAATTTTCAAAGCTTCTTAGTTTCTTTGTTTGTGATCGAATAGCTTCCAAATTTCGCCATAATGATACCTATATGCTCACAAGTAATAAACAATAGCTAGAAGAAAAATTTCTCCACGGGGAAAAATTCAGGTCCGAAAGGGTTAAAGGAATAGGATACCATTCGTTCAAGAATGTGAAATCGGAGAGAGTGCCTTAACAGCGCTCCTAACAATTTTGCCTCCTATGCAGAAGCTGGGTCCTATTGAAAAGATCATCACCCTCTCCTCAAAGTGGCTATATCCTCAGTAACAGATCGTGCACCGAAATGTTCCCTATGATCTAGTATCACATTGTCTCGATCCAGTATCAAGTTGTATTCCTTTGTAACCAAGTTGGGCTGCTGCTTGTGACGAATATTCCTCTCACCCTCACCGACTTTCTCAGGACCTCGTCGAGTTTGAAGATTGTAGCTCCGCTCCATGTGAGGAATTTTGTCGTCGATGGAAATGTGCCCGCGTAATCGCCATTTTCGGCCCTCGACACCAGCTCTTTGAACTTTTTGCTCTGCTGCTCTCCCGTTGGATTGAGCAGTGGTGCTTATGCAACTTATAATGGACTGTGAGCAGTTGTTATCTGACCACTCTCTACATGGCTGTGTTTAGAAACTCCAGCGTTCTGGTCACCTTTCTCGAGCCAACCCGGGTATTGCAGTCGTTTCGCTTCTTCATGCTTTTCCTGAGATCCAAGATGTCAGAACTTGTGGGGCGGCCGCAACAAAGACTACTTTTATTGGTCTTCTCTTTAGTGCACGGTAGGCCGCGGAGCGGTTGAAAATCCAAAGAAGCGCGATGCTCATCACCGGATGTCCGACCTAGCTGTGTGAGAGGTTAGGCACTCTGTTGAAGTTTAGGCGCACCATGAGATGCAGGCCGAACGGTAAGCCGTGGAATTTGGCATGGTCATTGACAAGAGGATAGAGGATTGAAAGGTCTGCGAATCTCGGAAGAAAAGCTCCAAAAAAGTGTAGCGGGTAATTTTGTGGACTGAAGTTGGCACGAGTAGGCTTTGTTGGTGGTCCGAATCCCCTTAGCGCCAGATTTCACATTTTATGCTGGCACCTCCAGACTTGGCTCCAAGTTGCATCAGCGCCAAAATAAATGTCTGGCTCGTCATAGTTATGACCAGGAGCAGCAATAATCCCAGTAAGATAGGTTTCAGGAAGGAAAGCAATAGGAAAGAGGGGAAAACCTGTAGCGAAAGAATGGCGGTGAGCAGGGTCAACCCTGCGTTGCGCAAATTCCAAAATTTTTACGACCCCTTCCTTTTCGGGGGTATCGGTACGACCCCCCATATTAACTATCATGTCTTTCACATAATTTAATGCTCATCAATGCTCATCAATGATGGCAGTCACCAACATGGAGAAGTGGTGGACCGTGGTCAATCCGCGCGCTTTGTCTCGCTCAGAGGAGGAATCGAGGCAAATGAAGTTTTATTCATTAAATAGAAGGAATTTCCAAATTTTTGCGTAAACCAATACATCATTTTATCGTAAAGATTTCTACTTTCAGAAACCCACCAGGATTTTTTCGATCTCTCAACTTTCCTTACCTTATAATCTGAAAAACTAAACCTTGTAGCAATTACATTGCAATCCAAACCCCTCCATTCAGAAGGTTATATTTTCTTTCAGAAGCTGTTTCATGAAATCGGACACCAAAATTTTAAAAATAAATAGTTTTCTTCCTGAGGAAGTATTTGAAATGTTGTGGATGTTCAATATTTCAAAAAATCGTCCCGTTGTTCCGTTTTTTGTGCACACGCGAGTTTTCGACATTCAAACATTCATAACTTTCTTCATAATCAACTTTTTGCAGATGTCTAAGGCTAATTAGAAACTAGAAGATTAGAGCTTTCGAATAAGTGCTAAAACTTTTGAAATAATCACTCGCTCAAAAAATAGTCCCGTTGTTCCGTTTTTTCCACCTTGATTTTTTTCAAGCCATTTTCCTGGACCGCGACTATGCAGTCTTCAAAGGCCCATAACTTCCTTCAAAATTAATGTGATGAGAAGCGGTAAAGATGTTGGAATCCACTCGAAGAGTACTTCATAACAACTGTGAAATTTTCCTG